GTGTAATATATTTGTGGTGATTATTGATGATTATGACAGTATGATGGTGATGATGATGATGATGGTGATGATGTCGAAGATGATGATGGGGATGTGATGGCAATGATGTTGATGGTGATGATGATGATGGTGATGATGATAGTGATGATGATGTTGATGATGAGTATGATAATGATGGTGATAATGATGATGATGATGTTGATGATGATGGCGATGTGATGGTGGTGATAATGATGATGATGATGATGATGATGGGGACGATGTGATGGCAATGATGATGATGGGGATGACGGTGATGATGRTAACGATGATGGTGTTGATGGTGATGATGGTGATGGGAATGATGGTGAAGTGATGGTGGGGGAAATGATGATGTTGGTGATGGTGGTGGGATGGTGTTGGGATGGTGATGATGGTAATATCAAAGAGCTGTACACMAAATGTACACAATAATAACTGTGTCTTACAGCTTAATAAATATAAGACATACAGCGCTAAATACAGCATTGCGAGGCTGCTGAGTCTCTACATCAGTGGAAATGTCTGCAGTCGTCAAGACTCGCTCATGTCGATTAGAAATGCCTAACAACATAAACATTTTGCGTCAGGCGCGCRATTATAATGATGATGCTTATGCTGCTGTTATTTTTCATAGAATCGTCGATAAGAAAACACCAGAAGAGAGAATCATACAAGTTCTCAGATGGTACCTGTCTGCGATGAGTGCTGGGAGAAAAGTAAATATCATTCAACCTTAGTAAATTCCCTATGCCAATTTTTTTTCGGTCGCTCATGGGTGCAAACTTGTTGAGCGACCACCAGGAAAACGAAGGTGCGAAAACTACGACTTATGGAAACAGTGTATGCAATACTGTAAAACATTTTTTTACATGTGAATGTTTGTTCTTCCAGGGTTCGGTAGCAAAGAAACCCTATAATCCTATTCTGGGAGAGACGTTTCGTTGTTTTTGGACTCTACCGGAATATGCTTCTACTAGAGATAAGGTAAAGCCAGCAGACTAGCAGAACACAAAGAAGGGCCATGTAAAACACATGTCACCCTATGTAACACCACACCACACCACACCACACCAAACTACGCCACACCACACCACACCACACCACACCACACCCCACCATACCACACCCCATCATACAACACCACACCATACAACACCACACCAGATTGCAACACATCACAACACACCACGCCACACCACGCCACATCACATCACACCACATTACACAACATCATACAACGCCCACCCTACCCCACCTCGCCCCACCACACAACACTACAACGCACAACACTTCATCACAACACACCATACCACACAATACCTTACCACAACACACCACACCACACCACACATCAGGATCAAACAGCATTTCACCATACCTCACCACTCCACTTAACTTGTTAGTGACTGCTAACAATAAGTTTAAAATGAATAATCTTCATTAACGTTTCTTTTCTATTCCCCAGACGCCTGTCAAAGATGGTCCTGTTCCATGGGCATCAAAAGATGACGTGACATTTTTAGCCGAGCAAGTGTCACACCATCCACCCAGTATGTCACACTCTCCCTATTATCCAATAGACCTAAAACTTTCTCTTAATACTTTCATTGAATGTTTTGCTCTACAGTCTCAGCTTTCTACGCCGAAAATCGTACCAAGAAAATCTCATTTGGCGCTCACATTTGGACCAAGTCTAAGTTTCTGGGTTTATCTATTGGAGTAGAAAATGTTGGCCAAGGTAAATACCATCCCTTGTTTTCCMCCTCTTCCTATACCACAGGAAACCCATTAAATTGTGATTGAATGATCACGAATTTTTTAAAGAAATACTATTRATTTTATTATGGTTTAATTTAAGGCTGCGTATCTGTTATACCACATGACGAAGAGTATGTCTTAACCTTTCCCAACGGTTATGGAAGGTAGGTATATTGGGATATCTGTGGCACGAGTAAAAAATAACATTGAAACGGGCACTGGGAACAGGCTTTATATAAATGGCTTTATACTTCTAATTCCTATATAATGGTATACCCTATGCGTGCAAATCAAGGCTTATAGAAAGTAGATCTATTGGGATACCTGTGATACAAGTCGAAACTAGTACAACCTGACACCTAGGGACGAACTTCTTTCTTTTGCGAGCGGTATGCCTTATGCGCATGCGCATGGATAAAGGATCGTTTATTATGACACAGGGAGCCCAATATCTCGTCTTTTTTAAAGGTCGATTCTCACAGTCCCGTGGATGGAGATTGGTGGTAAAAGCACTATAACTTGTGCTAAATCTGGATACAGCGCTTCGATACAATTCCACTGTAAGGTAAAAAACCATGAACGTCAATCTTCTGTGTTTCAACCTCCTGTATTTCAACCTGTGTTTTATGGTTGAAATTCCTGAAATAAAAAGAGGGAACTACTATAAAAGTTGAGGCATCCACTCTCACAGTTAACCAAAAAATCCCTTCTCTCGTTTAGTTAATACCGCTTGTTTTATGACTTACGACTCATCTGCAGTGGCGTAACCTCGCTTAAGAGCAAATCATTCTCAAACGTTAGCTGTAATGTAAAGAGGTGCAGCTTGAACAATACCAATGTTTTGAAATCCCACTGACTTTTAATGACTTATAAACGATAAGCCTGTGCAAATGAGTCTGTTGTCTTCAAAATAATGTCAAACATGTGTGATTTGTAATGTACGGTTCGAACGCGCCGTGTAGTGTCATGACGTGACGTATCATCACGTGAGCTGCTATGACTTGACGTTGCGTTACACGGTTTCTGACGTRTTRTGCTGTGCCTTGTCGTGTCGTGAAACWCACTGTTTCTTACTATGTCATGTCATGCCATGCGATGACTTAACGGGACGTGACATAAAGTGAACTKCCATGACGTGGTGTGAKTTGAAGTTCCATAATGTGCCTTGCCACGATTCATTATTTTTACTGTGACATGCCATGCCAATCATTGACATACTTTTAAAAACTGTGCAGTGCCATGACGTGACGTTGCGTGACATGACTTGACGTCGGTGGCCATTTGCCATGTGCCATGCTATGACGTGAAATTGTAACACAAACTGCTCATGCCTTTTTGTCCTATGATGAAGCATTCTTCTTGTAATAATTATKTTAAATTTTTTCTATTTTAGCCATTTTATGGAGGAAAGAAACACCGCGTGACTTGTGAAGTATTGTAAGTGACAACCATGAAGATTCATTATAAATATAAMAATCTTGCGTTACGAAAATGGCGTGACCGTGTGACGGTGTCATGTCGAAGCATTTTCACTGGATGAGGAGTTGTATCGAGCGCCTTGGTCGTTCAAGGACTTAAAACTTCAAAACTTCAAAACTTCAAAACTCCAACAGGTTTTCCCATTTTAGCCCACATGTCATTCGCTAGAGTATCATTTCTTTGTTTATCGGTAGTGCATTAGAAGAAAGTTGAATATGGATACAAATSAAAGAAAAAATTTTATTCTCAAGAGAATGACACGGACCAGTATGAATTGAAAAACCATAGTTAACGAAAGGTCTATTGTTTTACTATCCTTCTAACCAGGGCGCCAAATGAGAAGAARCCATTCCTGACTATCAATGGTGAATGGAATGGACTGATGTTCGCTAAGTACGCTGATAAAGAGGTAAGATCATTAGATAATTATAATGATTGTYAAACCATGGCCTCATCCTTATCTCGGGAAAACGTTGTGTGATGTTGAAAATGTTGACGATGTTGACGATAATGGGGATGGTAATAAGTAAGTCAGAATATTCACAAATACCAACGTGGATAAAGTAAAGAATGCGAAACTTAAAAATRCAAACACTTTAAAACTCCACGGACCTTCACTTGWACATGTGATAAATCTCTGGCCAGATCTTTGCAGTGATTGCACTGGGGGGAGTGGGGAGGGCGGTGGCTGCATATCTTCAATAAACAGGTTTTTCCTGAACAACTGTGTCGTTGATGAGAAGTGTAGATACAATTATATATTCTACACAATATCGAGGCTAACCCTGAGCAACAGACGATTTAATACTGGAGTATTGGAAGTAGTTCTTTTGCTGCTGCTAATGTTAGAAAACGATGTTATTGATAATGATAATAACGATGAGGATGATGATGATGATGATGATGACAATGATCAGGATGAAGATGATGATTGTGTTTATAGCTACATCAGGCTATTGTCCAGTCTAAACAAAGACCACTTCATTTATGTGCTTCCAGGAGGAAGAACTCTTCATAGACGCGAAGAATTTCCCTACCTATAGAAAGCTAGTCAAGAAAATCGAAAAACAGGGAGAGTACGAGTCAAAGAGGTAAGTGATGCTGACAACTCCTTTATCCCATCTTTTTCTCTCTGTCTTTTCTTCCCACGTGCATTCCACTTGTATTCCACGTTCTTTCCACATGCATTCCACGTGCATTCCACTTGTATTCCATGAGCATTCCACGTGCATTCCAAGTG